CATCTTTATTAAAGAAGTATGTGCATGATAAAAAATTGTCTGGTATGACAGCAAATGCATAACTATATATAGAATTTATCCCTTAACATATTTTAGAGAATAAAGCAACAGAGGGATGATTTAACAAGCGGCACCTACAGGACTGTCCTTATTCTCTCTCAGTTGTTACTCTTTGCTCTCTGCAGAGACTTAAGTTCTTTTTGCCCCAAAGCCCAAGACCTACCACCTCTTCACCCTGTCACCATGCATGGTCAGGCCCTGGTCAGCCTCTTCTGGGCCTCCTCACCAGCAGAATATGCATCATTCCACAAGGGTGTCTTGCTTTCCTTCTAAGTCACACAGTCTTTGTGATTTACATGCAAGAAAAGGGGAGGAGAAACACAAACACCTTCCTTATGGATCTAAAGCATGGAGTACTCCTTTCAGTCCCCGTGGTGGAGCCTATGATGCTGGTGAAGGTTTGAGCTCTGGCGAAAGCTTTTCCCACACTGGCCGCACTGGTATGGCTTCTCTCCAGTGTGGATCCTCTGGTGCAGCTTCAGGGTTGACTGCCGCCCAAAGCAGTTTCCACATTCTCCGCACGTGTAGGGTCTCTCTCCTGTGTGGACTCTCTTGTGTCTCTTCAGCTCTGAATTCCATGTGAAGCTTTTCCCACAGTCATCACATTTGTAGGGTTTCTTTGCTGAGCGGGTGGGCTGGTGACCAAGATGTTGCAAACGGTTGCTCAGGCTCCGTTTACCTCCTTTGCTTTTCTTCAGCTCTCTCAGTGGGTGGCTTTTTAGGGGGCTGCTGATGTATTCCAGTTCCCTGCAATGTCTCTGGTAGTGAGCAAATGGCTTTTGAGCATTTGGGGGGCTGACCCGCCTCCGTGACAACCGAGGTTCACTCATATTTGCCCCTCTTGGTTCAGGACTCGGCAGGCCATTCCCTTTAGATCTGCCAGCTGACACTGCACATGGCTTTGCTCCTTTAGCCCCTTCCAGTTGTGGATTTTCCTTGTTGTCACTTCTCATTCTGGGGGCCTCTATAATTAGAAAGAAAATGCTTCATTTTCTGTGCTTGGAAGAAATAACTTCAGCAAGAGTTATGAAATACTCTGAAAGGTTTCTCAAAGGGTGGCCCTCCATTGGCAACTTGCATTAGACTCATCTGGAGCACTTGTTAAACAAGCAGGCTCTTCACCCTTCCCCCAAAGCTGCTGGGTCAGAATCTCTGGGGGTTGGGCCTGATTATCTGCACAGTTAGCAGGCTCCTGGGGTGACTGTGATTTCTATTAAATTTAGGAACCAAGTTCTCCAACCTCCTTCCTCCTTCCTATCTTTAGGGAAAAATTTAGGAAAGGAAGAAGAGGGAAAAGCAAACCCGTCAGAACTGGGTATCAACTAATGAACGAAAGAAGGAAGAGAGGTGAAATCTCAACGTTGTAAATTTTACTGTTGTAGTCCAGTGCCTTAGCTATTTCAACAAATACCTGTCACTTAGTAAACACTAATTGACAACTACCTTCTCTTCAAAAGATGGTAAGTTCAGAGACTGTGGTGTTTTCTTTCATTACAAATTTGACAGTATATGAGTTCAGAAACTGGAATACGGGATAGCCATATATCCTAATACAGAAGGATTGGTGGTCTGGATGGAGAAGAGCTGGAACAGCCTATGGGAAGTCACAGGATCTGGAGAAGGACTCCTTGTGATGTAGAAAACGTGCGTGTGTATGTCTGTGCATGCAGAGTCGCATGCACGCTGTTCAAAATGGCAGCCACCGGCCACATGTAACTATGTGGCTACTGGGCACTTGAAATGTGACTACTGGGACTAAGGAACTTAATTTTAAATTTTATTTAATTTTAATTAATTAAATTCAAATGTAAATAATCAACCTATAAAATCAGGGTCAACTGCTTTTTGACAAGACAATTCAATGGGAAAATAATATCTTTTTTCATAAATGATACTAGGACAACTGGATTTCCACATACAAGAGAATGAAGTTGGACCCTGCTATGGTCTACATGTTTATTCCCCCCGTCCCTCCACACACATATATTGACACTTAGTCCCCTGTGCAGTGGTCTTGGGAGGTGGGGCATCTGGGAGGTGATTAGGTTATAAGGATGGGGTCCTCATAAATGGGATTAGTGTCCTTATAAAAGAAGCCCAAGAGAGCTAGTCTGCCCCTTCTTCCATGTGAGGACTCACAGCAGGCACCATTTATGAGGAAATGGCCCTCACCCATCACCAAATCTGCTGGCACCTTAATCTTGAACTTCCCAGCATCCAGAACAGTGAGCAGTACATTTCTGGTGTTTACAAATGGCAAGTCTAAGGCATTTTGTTATAACAGCCTGACTAGATTAAGACAGATTCCTACCTCAAAATCATATATAAAATTGACTTATTTGTTTCTTTATGTATGGGGGAAATTAACTTAAAATGGACCAAATACCTAAAAATGGGAGCTTAATCTATGTCTCTTTGAAGAAAACACAGCCATACATATTTGTGCCCTTGGATTAGGCAATGGTATTTTACACATGATACCAAAGCATAAACAAAGAAACAGATAAATTAGACTGCAACAAAATAAAAAACATTTGTACTTCAAAGGACACTATCAAGAAACTGAGACAACCCACAGAATGAGAAAAAATTTGCAAATTATATATGAGTCTAGTACCTAGAATACATAAAGGACTCCTAGAAAATAAAGACAAATAACCTAATTAAAAATGAGAAAAGGATCTCAACAGACATTTTTCCAAACAAGATATGTAACTGGATAATAAGCACAAGAAAAGATGTTCAACACCATTAATCATCAGGGAAATGTAAACCAAAACCTCAAATCAAAACTTTTCACCTAAAGGATGGATATAAGACAATAACAAGTACTAGCAAGAATGTGGAGAAACTGGAATCCTCATACAGTATTGGTGGGGATGTAAAATAGTACAGTTCCTTTGGAAAACAGTTGGGTAGTTCCTCATAAGTTAATGACCTAGCATATGGTAAGTCCACTCCTAGGTGTATACTCAAGAGAAATGCAAACATGTCTACACGAAAACACACATTTATAGCAGCATTCTTCATAATAACCAAAAAGTGGAAACAACCCAAAAGTTTATGAACAGATGAGCCAACATGAACAGATAACCAACATGTAATATATTCATACAATGCACATTATTCAGCCACAGAAAAGGATGAAGCATTGATTCATGCTACAGCATGGATAAAATTTGAAAACATGCTCAGTGAAAGAAGCCACACACAAAAGACCACATATTGTGTGATTCCATTTATTTATTTATTATTTATTTATTTATTTTTTTGAAACAGGGTCTCACTTTCACACAGGGTGGAGTGCAATGGCGCAATCTCAGTTCACTGCAGCCTCGACCTCCCAGGTTCAAGTGATCCTCCTGCCTCAGCTCACCCACGTAGCTGGGATTACAGGCGTCCATCACCATGCCCCACTTATTTTTGTACTTTTGTAGAGACAGGGTTTTGCCATGTTTCCCAGGCTGGTCTCGAATGCCCCGCCTAAGTGATCTGCCTGCCTCGGCCTCCCAAAGTGCTGGGATTACAGGTGTAAGCCACTATGCCCAGCCTATGTGATTCCATTTATATAAAATGTCCTGGCTAAGCAAATTCAGAGACAAAAAGTAGGCTGTGGATGCCAGGGGCTGAATGTTTATGTTCCCCCAAATTCATATGAAATTCTAACTACCGAGGTAATAGTATTAGGAGGTGGGGCTTTTGGGAGGTGAGGCCTTTGATTAGGTCATGAGGGTGCTGCCCTCACTGGAATGCGATTAGTGCCCTTATGAAAGAGGCCCCCAGGAGCCAGTCTTCCCCTTCCACCACATGAGGATTGAGAGAAGCAGGCAGTCTGTGATCTGGAAGAGGGCCCTCACTGGAACCCAACCATGATGGCACCCTGAACTCACACTTCCCTGCCTCTACAACTGTGAGAAACTCCTGTTGTTTATAAACTATCTAGTCTCTAATATTTTATATTAGCAGCCTGAAGAGACTAAGACACACAGTACCACACTGAATGTAGCAAATGTTAAGAAAATAAGGATTTTGTCTTGTCATAACCCTCTTCTCTAACGTGCTCACTGTATCTTATATTCACATCACCAGGCTTGGCCAAACTGTCACTGTCATTCAGGCTTAGCGATAACAGGATTGTATACAACAAGGGCAGCAGTAACACAAGTATCGCATCAGAGAAAGGGAAATCAATTCGAGGATTTAAAGTACAAACATCATCACAGAGGAGGACAAAGATAAATGATATGGGGTGGAGCTTTTCCTCTTCCAGGCCCCTTCTAAACAGGGGAGCATTTTAAGTAATGAAACTCAACCATAGCTTGCATGGAAGTTCATCTGTGGCCATATATGGATCTGTCTTTTCTATAAGAAGTTCTGGGCCAGGCGCGGTGGCTCACGCCTGTATTCCCAGCATTTTGGGAGGCTGAGGTGGGCAGATCATGAGGTCAGGAGTTCAAGACCAGCCTGATCAACATGGTGAAACCCTGTCTCTACTAAAAATACAAAAATTAGCCGGGCGTGCTGCCATGCGCCTGTATCCCAGCTACTCAGGAGGCTGAGGCAGGAGAATCACTTGAACCCGGGAGGCGGAGGCTGTGGTGAGTCAAGATCACCCCACTGCACTCCAGCCTGGGCGACAGAGCAAGACTCCATCTCAAAAAAAAAAAAAAAAAAAAAAAAAGTTCTGAAAGGGACAGAAAAGTAGGTACAATCCTGTTATGCACTGGATTGTCATATATTCATTAACAGAAAATGATAAAAACACATTTACAGTATCATCACCATTCTAATTGGTGAAATTTGTTTAGGGAATAATCACCTACTATTATATACAACATTTAAAAACACACACATGTGGTCTGTGCCTTTGCAGAACCATGAGATACACTGATGGAGATAAAGAACTGATGAGAGGGAGAGAAACGGCACAGAGTGTTTACCTGTCCCAGCCAATTTTGGGGTTGGTTCCTGGAGGAGCGAGGATTTCTCCCAGTGATGGGGGCTCAGCTGGTCATAAGCTTCCGCCTGGGAAGACTCTGCTGGAGAGGTCTCCCTGAGACCTCTCCTAGGAGTCTGTGGTTGAAAGTCTGGCAGTTCCTGTTCTCCAAGCTGTGATCCAGTTTTCTCCAAGAGCACCTTCTGCCCCTGCATACAAACAGCCACCTAGGAACAAGCCCCATCCATTAATTCCATCCATCAGGACTGAGGGAAGCTTGGTCTCTCACTGTTATATAATGACCTATTTACTTTGGGAACTGCTGATAACCATCTAGAGGTCACCTTTCATAGAAACCACTGAAACCCTCAAAGGAAGCAAAGGTAAAAGGGTGTGCAGAATGACATGAATGAGGATGCTACAAGTCAGCTGAGTGGCTTCCTCTAAAGCTTGGGCCTTTCTCAAGGGCCTGAGTCAAAGTCATCAGGGTAGTTGCTGGCACAAACATCAGAAACAGTCACAACACTGGGCCATGAGATGCCTACTCTACACACCACCTTCCTACCTACTTCTGCTGGTAATAGGCCCCATAGGAACAGAAAGCAGTATGGTGAGGGGCTGTTAAAAATCCTTCTTATCTAATACATTGTTCTGCCAAAGGCTCTCCTGGTTAGCAGATCCCAGTAGTAGTAGGGGTCAAGAGAACTACCCCACCCTCATTCCCTAACAAGTTTTATTTTCCAAAGTACCTGCTGTTTGTTTCTTGCCTAGGTCCTGACTGGGGTCTGATTTCCTGGAGGGGAGTGGCAAGCAATGGCAACACTGGCCAACTGAACTGTAACTTCCTGATCCAAAGACAATAAGCCAGTCATGGTGTGGCTCACACCTGTAATCCTAGCACTTTGGGAGGCCAAGACCGGCGGATTGCTTGAGCCCAAGAACTCAAGACCAGCCTAGGCAACGTGGAGAAACCCTGTCTTTACAAAAGTACAAAAATGAGCCAGTTGCGGTGGCATGTACCTGCAGTCCCAAGTACTTGAGAGGCTGAGGTGGGAGGATCAGTTGAGCCAGAGGTGGAGGCAGCAGCGAGCTCATGCTATTGCATTCCAGTCTCCGTGACAGAGTGAGACCCAGTCTCAAAAAAAAAAAAACAAAAAACTACAAACAAAAAAGACAATCAGCTCAGCCAGGCATGGTGGCTCACGCCTGTAATCCCAGAACCTTGAGAGGCTGAGGCAGGAGGATCACTTGAGGTCAGGAGTTTGAGACCAGCCTGGCCAAAATGATGAAACCCCCTCTCTACTAAAAAGTACAAAAATTAGCTGGGCATGGTGTCAGGCGCCTGTAATCCCAGCACTTTGGAGGCTGAGACACAAGAAACTGCTTTAACTCTGAGGTGGACGGAGGTTGCAGTGAGCCGAGATGGTGCCACTGCCCTCCAGCCTGGGCAACACAGCAAGACTCCATCTCAAAAAAAAAAAATACAGTAAGCTAAACACTGGAAACACAGTAAGCTAGAACTTCCAATGAAATGAAGTTCCCCAAAGTCCAACTGCTACCCAAAAGGGTGATCCTGTCTGCTAAGAATTCTGATTGTAGGAAAACTAACAAAATGAGTTTGGGGAAGATCTGACATAAAATATACAAGAACCGGGCCGGGCGCGGTGGCTCACGCCTGTTATCCCAGCACTTTGGGAGGCTGAGGCGGGTGGATCACGAGGTCAAGAGATCGAGACCATCCTGGTCAACATGGTGAAACCCTGTCTCTATGAAAATACGAAAAATTAGCTGGGCATGGTGGTGCACGCCTGTAATCCCAGCTACTCAGGAGGCTGAGGCAGGAGAATTGCCTGAACCCAGGAGGCAGAGGTTGCGGTGAGCCGGGATCGCGCCATTGCACTCCAGCCTGGGTAACAAGAGCGAAACTCCATCTCAAAAAAAGAAAAAAGATACAAGAACCTTACAATTATTTCTGGTGACACAAGGTGCATAAAAGAATGTTAAGAACCTTGGTCCTCTACTGCTTCACTGGGTATCAGCACTTGGTTTTTTTTTTTTTTCTTTTGAGATGGAGTTTCGCTCTTGTTGCCCCGGCTGGAGTACAAAGGCTGGATCTCGGCTCACTGCAACCTCCGCCTCCTGGGTTCAAGCGATTCTCCTGCCTCAGTCTCCTGAAGAGCCAAGGTTACAGGCATGTGCCACCATGCCTGGCTAATTTTGTATTTTTAGTAAAGACAGGGTTTCTCCATGTTGTGTCAGGCTGGTCTCGAACTCCCGACCTCAGGTGATCTGCCCACCTTGGCTTCTCAAAGTGAGCCACCGCGCCTGGCCGGCCAGTAGTTGGGTTTTCTAAAAACCTGTTACAACTCGGGGTAGGTTCCCAGATAGAGGCTGGAAGCAACTTCTGAAGGCATCCAGTCCACTTCTGAGACTCAGTCCTTAAACAGGGAGAGATCCAGATACCAAACATGACCCGGATGAAAAATGAAATCCCCCAAGATCATGGGAGAGGACCCTCCTTACCCACTGCTTTGGTTTCTTGGTTGCTCTGTGAAAATCTTCCACCAGAGTCACAATTTCCTTGCTGCTCATTGGACACTGATGCCTGACGCGAGCCTGGATCTCCGGGGGCAGAATGGTCAGGAACTGCTCCATCACCAGAAGCTCCACAATCTGCTCTTTGGTGTGCAGCTCAGGTTGCAGCCACTGACGGCAGAGCTGTCTGAGCTGGGAGAGCGCCTCTTGGGGTCCAGACACCTCTTGATAACAAAAGCGTCTGAAGCTCTGGCGGCAGAGCTCAGGATCCGGGCAGTTCTTTTGCGAAGTAGGCTCCCGTTTCTCTTCTAGTTTTGTTATTATATGTCTCTCTTGCTTAGAGGAGTCTTCAGTGTTCGAGCTCAAAGTTATCTCCATTTTAGCTGCCATTTTGGGGATCGGGAGACAACTCTCTCCTTGTAAGGGTTAATTAAGCCTTTGTGATCATGACCCTCGAGGAGTCTCTCCGAATGCCAGAAAGACGCTAGAAACGAAGGTTTTCTCAGGATGTTAGGGAGAACGGGATGCAGAGACAAAACCTCCTCACTCGCGAGTCTTTAGCCCAAACTCAAGACAACGCGACCTCTGGGAGTGGGAACGAGTTTTGTCTTCCTGTCGGTTTTTTGCAGTTTTGCAAAGGGGAAAAGTCATAACGTCCTAAAAGGACTCTGGGGAAAAAATAATTCTTTGATTCAGTAGCAAGCACACAGGTCTCGCTCGGGGGAAATGAGAAATACGCTCTAACCGGCGGGTGGAGCGGAATCCCTAGAAAAGTTCAAGCCGTCACAGGTAGCTTGCCCCAAGTCTCCCGCATCCCGGCGGAAACCGACCTGACGCAAGTCGTTGGGAGCTAAACGGTACAACCGAGCAAGGCCACAGCGTCAGCCGGGGGTGTGAGGCGGCGGAGAGCCTCCCGCACCAGAGCGAGGTGGCTGCTGGCTGCCGAGGCGCCGCAGGCCCGGCGGCTCCGGCCTCCAGGGCGGCCCCGCGGCCCAGCCAGCCCCGGGCCTGGCGAAGCTGCCGCAACCCACTGCGCAGTTGAACTCCACGGCCGGTGCGAGCTCGGGCTGGCGCCTGCGACAACACTACCTCGAGCTGCCCGGCGTCCCGCACCCACCTGCAGTGGACTCACCTCTCTGGGAACTCGGGACTGGGGAACTGGGGACCCGGCACCAGCGAGCACGGGCTGGGGGCGGTGTCCATGCCTCTCGCCGCGGAGACGCCCACTGGCTGCTGAGGAACTACCGAGAGGGCCCGCCTCCTGCCCAAGGGATTGGCTCCTCGAGGGTATCATCTACCGTCTATTGGCTGCTGCGTCTGTCAATGCCGTCGCAATGCATCCCGGGAGCTGCAGTCCGACTGCTCGGCTTGCGGGCGTGTGCCGGGGCGTGCGTAGTGGGCGGTTGAGCACCGCGAATCGCGCAGTTGACTTCCGGCCAGGAGGATGCGGGTGTTTGGGGAGTCGCGAGTGCTGGTATCTGGTGAGTTCTTCGCTTCCTCGCGGCCGGCGGGACTAACGGCTGGGCCCTGCGACGGCTGCGGAGCCCTTCCCCGCTGGGAGTCTTCTCCGAGGCGTTTGGGTCCGGCCTCGATGGGCGTCTCCGTGGGACTGGCGGCCTCCCTCGGGCCGGTAGTCCCCATAAGCTCCGCTATCACCGTGCCCCGCCTCCACTGCGCGCATCACTTGGAGCCGGAGCGCCGGTACCCCGGGACTCCCCTGGGCTTGATCCTGCTGCTCATCTCGTCCCTGTTTGGCCCACTCCCTACTCATCCGCAGCGCCTGACCCTAGCACCGAGTGTGTTCTGAGTACTGAGTAAATAGTTGCTAAGTGAAAAACCTATCAGTCCGGCCCCCCATCCTCGTGCTGCATTTTTTCCAAGTGTTAGGGCCATCGCTACAATAAAGTAAAATTTTCAGAGAACATCATTTTAAAATTTAATGATGAACCGGGCGCGGTGGCTCACACCTGTAACCCCAGCACTTTGGGAGGCCGAGGCGGGTGGATCACGAGGTCAAGAGATGGAGACCATCCTGGTCAACATGGTGAAACCCCGTCTCTACTAAAAATACAAAAAATTAGCTGGGCACGGTGGCGGGTGCCTGGAATCCCAGCTACTCGGGAGGCTTAGGCAGGAGAATTGCCTGAACCCAGGAGGTGGAGGTTGCGGTGAGCTGAGATAGCGCCATTGCACTCCAGCCTGGGTAACAAGAGCGAAACTCCGTCTCAAAAAAAAAAATAACTATGAGTGGGATGTAAGGGGTCAAGAGGGGTCAAGGTTCCGCCTCCTGCATGAAGTTAGGAGAGCATTTATTAAATTATTCTTCAGCCAGGTAAGGTACAGGATGTGAGAACATGTGCAAGGCAAGGGGTGCAGGTTCTAGTCCTGGCCTTGCTACCTAGGAGCTATGCTATGTGATGCTTTAAGCAAGATACTTCATCGCTCTCAGTTTGTTCTCTGGCTGAAAAGCAGTGCTAACAATAATAATGCCCTTGATTTCTCTATCTCTAGCAGCACTGAAACGTAGAGAAGTTAAGTGAAGGCAGTTCAGGTTCTTTGACAAAAAGGAACCCAAATCCATTTAAAAAATATAACTAAAAAATTACTAAGGGAAGGCCGCGCGCGGTGGCTCATGCCTGTAATCCCAGCACTTTGGGAGGCCGAGGTGGATGCATCACGATCCTGGTCAACAAGGTGAAACCCCATCTCTACTAAAAATACAAAAATTAGCTGGGCACGGTGGCGCACACCTGTAATCCCAGCTACTCGGGAGGCTGAGGCAGGAGAATTGCCTGAACCCAGGAGGCGGAGGTTGCGGTGAGCCGAGATCGTGCCATTGCACTCCAGCCTGGGTAACAACAGCGAAACTCCGTCTCAAAAAAAAAAAATTACTAAGGGAGATTCTGCTGAAGAAAAACAAAAGAATTGGAAATGTTTAATTTATATATATATATATAAATTATTTAATAAAAATGGGGTTTCACTATCTTGACCAGGCTGGTTTTGAACTCCTGACCTTGTGATCCACTCGCCTCAGCCTCTCAAAGTGCTGGGATTACTGGTGTGAGCCACCATGCCCACCTATTTAATTAAAAAAAATAATAACATTTACCATTGTAACCATTTTTAAGTGTCCAGCTCAGTACTGCTTGAGTATCTTCATATTGTTATGCATGCTGGATCCATTTTAATACCAGCTAGTGAGGGTATATCAGCTCTTGTAGAAAATATAAATTATCCGCTTTAATCTGTGTTTTAAGTAGGTAACACCCAACACAAACTAATTAAAAAACACTGCCTTCGCTGGGTGCCACTGTAATCCCAGCACTTGTGGGAGGCCAAGGTGGGAGGATCACTTGAGCATAGGAGTTTGAGACCAGCCTGGGCAACATAGTGAAACCCCATCCCTACAAAAAGTGCAAAAGTTAGCCTCTATTTAAAATTATTTTTAAGGTTGGGAATGGTGGCTCACACCTGTAATCCTAACACTTTGGGAAGTTGAGGTGGGTGGATCGCTTGAGTTCAGGAGTTTGAGACCAGCCTGGGCAACACAGACTCCATCTCTAAAAATAAAAAAAGGAAAACATATATAAAGTTTTTTTAAAGTTATTTAATTATTGTTTAGTTTTAAATTATATAAAACTATTTTTTAAATTAACTCTTTAAAAAAATATTGCCTTACATAAACTGGCCTTGGAGATCCGAACATGTTGTCAAGACTCCACTATATTGTCCTCATGTAAATAGGCTCACTCCTGTGGTGGAGGAGTGGAGTAGAGAGTGGGACATAGTTGTAGACAACTTTCTGGTCTTAACATTTGCCCAACTTTCCCTACCTCTTGTATGCAAATTCTGAGAAAAGAATTTTTTTTTTTTTTTAATTTTGTGGCGGAGTGCAGTGGCTCTCTCTCCGCTCACCGCAACCTCTGCCTCCCAGGTTCAAGCGATTCTCCTGCCTCAGCCACCTGAGTAGCTGGGACTACAGGTGCATGCCACCACACCCAGCTAATTTTTGTATTTTTAGTAGAGATGGGGTTTCACCATGTTGGCCAGGATGGTCTCGATCTTTTGACTTCGTGATCCACCTGCCTCGGCCTCCCAAAGTGCTGGGATTACAGGCGTGAGCCATCGAGCCTGAGAAAAGAATTTTGATAGGCCCAGCTGTGTGTCATATAGCCACTTCTGCGGAGGCGGGTGTTGTAATAATACCCCACCAGAACCACTGGGAGGAACTTTTCCACAAAGGAAGAAGACGCTGCTATCAGAAGTGGGGAAGGAATGCTGGAAAATAAAAACATACAGCAAACCTCAACAGTCGCTTGTCCATGTTGTGTGTCTGTAGAGTAAAAGTGATAGAGAAGTTAATCAAGAAACACACACACACTAGTTCTCCCCGGAAGAGAGGGGGGCAATAGAGAACATGAGTCCAGGCTTCTGGAGGATAGGGAAGGACAAGAAAAAGACCTAAGTATGTGTAGCAAGAAGGGAAGGGACAGGTGAACTACAGTGTCAGGAACAGTTTGAGTAACTCGCTAGCAGACACAGAATCTTGGCTGGGGAGAAGACTGTATTTTTTGGTATTGTAACTGCCCAGTGAATTCATCTTGCCCACTGCCTAGATAAACCCAGTTTATCAAGACAGGGGAACTGCAATAGAGGAAGAGTTTAATACATATAGAACCAGCTAAATGGGAGACTGAAGTTTTTTCATTCACGTCGGCTTCGCTGGAAATTCAGAGGCTAGGGCTTTGGCAGGCAGGTGGGTAGGGGAATGCTGACTGATTGGGCTGTTTTCCACAGCCCTTGAGTGCGCTTTTAGGAGCCACAGAGGAGTCCCTGGTCTGGGCGGGGCCCCCTGGTGTCAGAAATCAAAAACCTGAAAAGACATCTCAAAAGGCCAATCTCAGGTTCTACAATAGTGATGTTATTTAATTGCAGAAGTTGCAACTCTTGTGACCTCTGGATAATCATCTAATGATGCCTACATCTTAGCGGGATTCAGGCCCCTCTCATCCTTCTAACCTGGTAGTCTTTTTCTTTTTGAGACGGAGTTTCGCTCTTGTTACCCAGGCTGGAGTGCAATGGCGCGATCTCGGCTCACCGAAACCTCCGCCTCCTGGGTTCAGGCAATTCTCCCGCCTCAGCCTCCTGAGTAGCTGGGATTACAGGCGTGTGCCACCATGCCCAGCTAATTTTTTGTATTTTTAGTAGAGGCGGGGTTTTACCATGTTGACCAGGAGGGTCTCGATCTGTTGACCTCGTGATCCACCCGCCTCGGCCTCCCAAAGTGCTGGGATTACAGACTTGAGCCACCGCGCCTGGCCGGTAGTCTTTAATTAGTTTTACAAAGGCAGTTAAATTTGAGAAAAGGTTAATATTATTCAAACTATAAATTTTTCCCAAAGCTAGCTTGGCCCACACTCAGGAACGACAAAGGGCAGATGGGAGGTTAAAAGCAAGATGGAGTTGGTAAGATCATACCTCTTTTAGTGTCATAATCTCACTGTTAACAGTGTTTGCAAAGGCAGTTTCAGTATTTCTAGTGTTTTGGATCCTCGGCGTGGATTTGTGGACGGAGTAAAGGAAAGGGATAGAAAGTAAATCACAAGAACCAGAGTGAAGGAATGTGTGATAGGTTTATACTTTCTTTTTCTATCCTCTTCAGACATCCTTCAAGGTTGAGCCCTGTTTTTCAGTTGTGAGTCTCTGCACGTGTCTGATACTCTCATGTCCCATGGATTCCAGAAAGACACTCCTTGCAGGAGAACATGGCTTCCCAGTGATGTGAGAAGAGATGTAATCTGATCTCCAGGGTTCAGTGGCAACACAGTAAGCCAGTTTGTTGAAGCAAATGATGGCGGCAGAAAATAGTCTTCAGGCACACTCATCCTCAAGCAGAGATCCCACGCAGGGCCAGAAATCAGCCCCCCAAGGTAACAGCCCTGACTCCGAGGCCGCCCGTCAGCGCTTCAGGCAGTTTTGCTACCAGGAGGTAACTGGCCCCCATGAAGCTTTTAGCAAACTCTGGGAACTCTGTTGTCAGTGGCTGAGGCCTAAGACACACTCAAAAGAGGAAATCCTGGAGCTGCTGCTTTTGGAGCAGTTTCTGACTATCTTGCCAGAGGAGATCCAGACCTGGGTGAGGGAGCAGCATCCAGAAAACGGCGATGAAGGGCTCTGGTTGAGGATGTACAGAGAGCCCCTGGACAGCAGGTGAGAAAAGGGAGTTGGAACTTTGTGG